AATCATGGGCACTGGTTTCGTAATACTAAGGAGGGCTAGGGTGTATCTAGGAGTGATGTTGAGTGTAAGATGGCATATCTGGTGGCGTTGAAATATATTAAAGTTAGAACTCAAAAGTGTTTGGATTCCACCTCCTTTGATTAATTTTGATGGGTCATCTTCGGGTAATCTAGGGAAGGCACGGTCGGTGGTATATCCAAGGATAGTGAAGGTAATGTCATATTTTGCTATGTTGCACTGTGTGGGGAGGCCACAACAAATAAGGCAGAAATGCTTGCATTGTCACAAGGTTTATTGATTTGGATGGAGATAAAGTTGGAGAGATTTTTTACTATTGAAGGAGATTCTATTAATGTTATTAACTTGTGTAACCAATGATTCAAAAAGCGGACTGCCCAGCACCTCAGCGGCCAATCTAGGTGGTCAATCCCTGGGCGGCCGCCTAGGCAGTATGGAACCCGCCTAGGTGGCCGACTAGCGCCGAGCCCCGGGCGGCCGCCCATGGCCTGTGCCCCGCATGGGGGCGGAAAACAATTCGTGAAGGAATTTTATGTCATTTTTTTTTTTTTTTAAGGCCCAAAAACTAGGGTTATAGTTCATTTGAAACTTAAACTTTGTTTGAGCTAAATTTAGAGAGAGAAAACCACCAAAATACTAGATTGTGGTGCATTTTTTTAAATCGAAGGGTTACTCAAAGTTACATAAATTGATAAAAAAATCACCCATTGGTATTATATTTACTTTTTGATGTTTTGTAAAATTACTAGGGGGTGTTTTAAAATATTTTGAGTATTTAGAAACATCTTTGAGGTGAAAGTTTGAAGATTGAACAATCAAACTCAAAGTAAGTGATTTTTTTTATTAATTTAGTAATTTACATTATTTTTTAGATGTCTTCTCCAGGATCTAATAGAAGTGGCGATCCCAGTTGAAAATATGGCTATAACCCAGATCCTAATGATAAAAATCTTTGAAAAAGATACAAAAGGGAGCATCAACAGGTTGAAAAAATATCTTGACAGCATCAAAGGGAATGTTGCCTCATGTAAAAAGACTCTTGATGCTGTTAAAGAAGAAATAAAGAATTTTATGAACTTGGTGAAAATGAAAAAAGATGAGATATTTGCCTCTATAGAAGAGATTAGGTCTAGGGTTCGAGTCAATTTTGATGATGATGATGCCAGTGATGAAGAAACGATTGGGGAGGGATGTCAAGAGCTTGAGCAATCCATTATTAGGGAAAAAGAGAAGGGAGTTGTAATTGCTTCTGGTTCTGGGACTAAGAAGCCACGGGTTAGAGGCCTTATGGATAATTTATTACTTCGGCTTGATCCTGAGATTGCAGGAGAGAAAACAAAAAAGCAAACCACCATTGAAAATAGAATCAAGAAGAAAGAGAGAGATAGAGTTGTGTATTATTTGGCTACATGGTTTTATGAAGCGGGCATTCCTTTCAATACTGCTCGCTTGAGCAGCTTTTATGCTGCAGTAGAAGAAATTGGCCAATTTGGCCATGGGGTGAAACCTCCAACCTCATATGAGCTTTCAGAGCTTTTTTAAAAAAGGCAGTAAGTGCCACGAAGGAAGCTGTAGAACTTAAGAAAGATGCATGGGCTCAGTATGGGCTTTCTCTTATGACTAATGCTTGGAGTGATAGGAAGAGAAGAAGTCAAATGAATTTTCTTGTGAATTGTCCAGTAAGGACTATTTTTTTGAAGTTTATTGATGCCTTTGATCCTATCCATGATGCCTATTACATATTTCAAGTGATAGAGAAGGAAATCAAGAACGTCGGAGAGCATCTTGTTGTACAGGTTATCACAGACAATGTTGCTCATAATATTGCGCATATAGCTTATCCTAGAATCGTTTAAACACCATGTGCAGCACATTGTATAGACTTCATACTTGATGCTCTTGGCGGTTTAACCGAGATACTAAGTGCAGTGAAGAAGGCCAAGTATGTTACGAATTTCATTTATAACCACCATATCACCCTCAGCATGATGCGTACCCTTACAAAAAAGAAAGAGATTGTGAGGCCCGGGGTCACAAGATTTGTGACCTGATACTTGTTCCTAGATAGCATACATTCGAGGAGAGTGCAGTTGAGGCAAATGTTTACCTCGGATGAGTAGATAGCATGCAAGTGGTCTAAGGCTCAGGTTGGGAAGAATATGAGAGATATTATACTTTCTAAGGCTTTTTGGCGAGGGGTGAGGTTGCTCTTAAGGTATTTTTTCCTATTATCAAAGTTCTTCGCATGGTTAATAGTGACAAGCCTTCTATGGGCTACATATATGATGTTATGGAAAACTACAAAAGAGAGATAGTCCAAAATTTCAATGATGAAGAAACCTGCTACAAGAAGTAGGATAAGCAACTACATCGGCCATTGCATGCAGCAGGTTATTTTTTTATCCCAGCTTTGATTTATTTTGACAATGATATACAAACAAATGACATAATTATGGATGGATTTAATGAGTGTGTAGAGGTGCTAGTCCTTGAACTTGAAATGCAAGATACTATATACGCTGATGAGGTGATAAATTACGAGTGCTCATTAAAGTCTTTTGGGAGTCCAATAACGATAAGGCAAAGGACCAAAATTAATCTAGGTATTAAATATTATTATATTACTAATAGTCTTAAGTTAATCTTCATCAAGTTCAACTGTTCAAGTAATCAAGTATTACTATTATTTATTTATGATTTTTTTTTTGTAGGCCATTGGTGGAGCCAACATGGGCGTAGTTCTTCAAATTTACAAACGTTGGCCCTTCGGATCTTAAACCCAACCACTTCTTCATCCGATTGTGAGTACAATTAGAGTACTTTTGAAGGGGTAAGGCCATAAGGGTAATTTGTATAATTTTATAAATGATACATGAACTATAGATATTACATTTTAATTAGTTCACTTTCATTTTATTTTGTTATGTTCATACAAAAGAAATGAACATGCTTGAATTAAAGAAGCTCAATAACCTTGTCTATGTCAAGTACAATCGATTCTTGAAGGACAAATTTGCTAAGAGAGATAATAGATACCCCATCAGATCAAAAAATATAGACAATGCTATGGAGTGGTTAGTTGATGATGATGAGGTCAAGGGACGTGAAGGATTGACATGGGACATGGTCATGGATGCTTCAAGGGCATCAGCTGACCCTCCTAGGGCCACTAGGGCTTCTGCACAGAGAACAAGGGTAGAGGAAGAGGAGGAAGAAGAGGCAGATTCACAAGAGACAGAGGAAGACGAGTCGCAATATATCGATGAGGGTGATGACTCCATCGACTCCAATGAATATGATGCCGTTGCAACTGACCCAAGATTTTCTGATGATGAATGAATGTTGATTGTTTAAAAATTATTAAACCTTGTTACTTTGAAGTTTGAACTTTGATTGAAATATAGTGTATTGAATATTTGAACTATTGAATATTCTTTTGAGTCTTCAAGTTTTACTTTCGTAGTTTTATAATTTGGTTGGTTGGAATATTTTAAGTCTTAATTGGATATGGATTATGGAGTATGAACCAACTTATGGATTATGGTTATGCTTATGGAATGTGTGCTAAATGGTAATATGTAGCATAATTTGATCATAACTGATAGTCTGATACATAAATAACTGTAGAATCTTTATTTGGATTCAACCAAACCGCCCAGGTTCTAGGCGTTGGGCGGCCTGGACCCCTCAATCGACCTAGGACCCACCTAGCGCTTTTTGGAACACTGGGTGTAACGATATTATAAAATCACCATGGCATCTTCGATCTTTCTGGCTGAAAGTGTTGGATCTGCCTTGAGGGGTAATATGACTTTCAACCATGTTTACAGATAAGCAAATCTAATTGCAAATGACTCGGCTAAAAAAGGAGTGTATCTATATTCATTGTGTATTTCTTCCTCTTTATTTTAGTTTTAAATTTATATTAGCTCCTATGTTTTATGAAGAATACTCAGTATTCTTACCAAAAATTAAAAAACTTCCAAGGGCAACCACCGTAGTAGAACTTTTTCCTTTAGTATTACAGCTAAAGCAAGGATGATTAACGTATATGTTTCCCTTTACTATAAAGCTGAAGGATAGGGATAAACAAGGTTACTATACAATGACTTCCCCACCTGGTACACATCGAGCTCAATAACTTCGGTAGCAGTGGAATTGCATAAGATTATTTACCTTTGATACAAAATGGTTACAATTACTTACTACCATCCGATGTGAAATTTGATATATTGGATGTATCACAAAGTTTGAGAAAATTTCTTTTGAAGTTTGAGCTTGATCAATGGAATAATTGCAACAACCCAATTTCAAATCCAAAGTCAAGATTAATGTGACCACCTTGTACCAAAGATAAATGACCTCATTTTATACTTTCAAAGTCAATAGTCTTACCCAAGCACACTTAACTCCATAACATCAATATCACTTTTGGGTCTTTAAGGTTAAAAGTGACTTCTAAAGGGTATTTCTGCACCTTAACCAGAACAATAATCACAAAAATAACCAAGCACAAGTAAACACTAATTCTTTATAAGAAAATAACTTGGTTGATGGTTTTCCATGTAATTTTGACAAATTTCATTTGGTGTTTTTAATTGATAATTGAACAATTTGACTACAAAAGATTGGATGCTTATTATTCAATTATGGAAAACTTTGGTCTCTCTACTCAGCAAGCTTGTGTGGTTATGATTGTGTGGTTATGATTGTTTGACCTTTTCAACGGTCCACCGGATATGCGAAGAATTTGGGGCCGAGATATTTGTCAAACGAATCATCATCCATCCCAAGGAAGATGGCTCTCTCCCTCCTTGTGAAACCCTGGAATATTAGCTTCTCATGCCTCTCTTATTCTAAAGTGACAAAAAGCAATAAACCTACACAATGATGATCCTGGTGAAACCCTGGAATATTAGCTTCTCATGCCTCTCTGATTCTAAAATGACAAAAAGCAATAAACCTACACAATGATAAGTTGATAACCGACTAAACATTCAGTGTTTGTCCATTGAAAAGATTTCCCTATCATGCTCCCATGACCAATACATAATTCAGCTCGAGTCTCTATTGACACCAGGAGGAACGTTATACATTTAATATTTAGAAACACCACGACCATTTTATTCGTTAGTATCAACCTGCCAAACATACAACAAAATAAACCACATTACAAGGCTTATACAAGGAATGAGCACAACCACAAACTCAATAAAATAATCCAATTTGGACTAGGACCCATCCAAATAAAGCAGCACTATGTTACATGTCGAAACAGCATCCCTTCGTTCACCAATATCTGACTCAATCTGGGGGCGCCCGGGGCGCGGGGTTGCCAAATGAACTGCCCATTCTTCTTGCTACCAGATTCGGAGTACACATTAGGATCCTCTTCCTCTCTGCCTCTTCTCCTCTAGTGCGGCAGCTTCTTTTAACATGTCGGCAGCATCGTTGTGCATATCGAGCTTAGTGAGGGCAGCAGCCTGCATGTAGAAAGCCGTCGGCCATTCGGGATGGACACATTGTGCTTGCATCGCGTCCCTAAGGGCAGCATCAGGCTGGTCACAAAGGAGATGAGAGAGACTACGCCTTGCATAAACAGTGGGGGAGACCATAGTCCCCACATCTATGAACTGCACCGCAAGTATAAGGCATGCTCACAAATCTCATTCTTGGATGTTTTCCGCTAAGTTAATTTCTTGAGTATTTGAAAAATAAAAATAAAAATAATCAACAGATCAATTAAAAAATGATAATAAAAATGATTTTGAGTTCTTGAAGACCTGATCGACTGTCCATGAAATGCAAAATCTTTCACTGCTAGAGGCAGAACTAATTTGGATCATTTTTTAGGTGATTTTCTTTTTCTTTTAATTTGATAGCTAGGATGTGGCCAATTAAATAATCGCCAAAAAAATAGTGAGAAGAATGATAAAGAAAACATAGATAGAAATAAGAAACTACAACAATTGTAAAAACTGACAAAAAAAAACGTCATTATTTTTATACTACTAGCACATAAAGTTTGTAGATTTAAATTTATGGACAAACCTACTTGCAAAACATTCAGGTCCAATATCAAGAAAGATATGTAAGAGATTCTCACAATAATTTTTAAAGATCTTCAAAGAAAGATATGATCATGATGGTATAAACAACAGGTATCTTGCCACAGAGAGCCAAGAATTCCCAACTAAAATACGTCTGTCACAATCATAAGGTGTCTTACCTGCGAATAGCAGTCAATGGCCATTTTAAAATCTTTATCACGGAATGCAATGTCACCACGCTTTCTAGCTTCAAGCATGTCTCTCATTTGCTGGGTCCATTCTTGAAAGGATAGCTGTTAGGGGAAAAATAGTTCACACTTGTCAACATACTAAATCTCATGATCAGAATAAAATCTTACTCATTCTTCGTTTCTTTCTTTTTTGATAGTTGAACGTGAATTCAAACTAAATCAAGAGGCCGAGACAATGACAAAAGTGCATGGACTTAAATTGATTTCACGCAAAATGACGACAACAAAAGATTTGTAGTAATGGCCCTAAACAATTACCTCGTTGGTTCCCTCATCATCCTTATAATGGGTCATCACCAATATCTGATGCATGGCTGTAAGGTCCATTCTTGAACAAGCATCACCTAAGGGTGAAAGAGGACGTTGGGGAGAGGGAGGAGCCTCTTCCTGTTTCTTAATGCCAAGTAGCAAATAAGATGGCACCTGTTCAAAAAAGTAAACCAGAGAAGCCTGAGTTGCCTGTTATCCTCGGTGGCAAAATAACGTTTCAAACAAAGATATATCAATGGAGAGTTCAAGAAATCCAGATTCTGGCAGAATTCACATCTAAGTTAGCAGAACACAGAGATAGATCTAACCTGTAGAATATATTCCCTCTAATATTCATAAAGGAAATGTAGGATGAAGTATACAATAAGACCATAGCTCGAGGCATACAATACCCCATAGCCATTGCACTTTTAACTGCTACGGATTTACCATTTACAGTGTACTTTCAATCCGAAAATTTTCCTTGTTATGTGTGGACAAATGCAGCCCAACCATCCAATTTTACAACTAATGTTTGTGACCTTTGTGCATGAAAGATAACAATCTTATTGTACAGAATCCCTAAAATAAAAATCCAGCTAAAACATTTATCATAATAGGCTGACACAAGTAAATGTCTAACTTACAATGCTATAGAACACAAGCAAAGAACATCAAAATTTTTCCCTAGAGACAAAGATGATAAGAAATAAAAAGGAAAAGTCAACGTTTTAGATGACCCAAGCCCACCTCAGATAGATCAGATCCTAATCACATGATGAAGGCACAGATTGGCCTAACCAATAAATAGTAGAATAAGAGAGATCACATATTAAAATTCGAAACTGTTAACATATGTTTTTTATTTTTTTCGGGGTTTCAGAGGGTACCCCACCCATTGTATTAATATGTAAATAATGTACAAAGGATATGTCCAAGGCAGAGATGCAAGGGACTCTCACGAGCTCACAATATAGAGTGTTCACCCAAATTTATAATCAATGCTCTTAGGTGTGAGGGGTGGCATTCCAATCTCATGTAGACAAGAGACTCACAATCATTCCTTTGGGGAGGTATGTAAGTCTTTAGAATGCAAATTTTTACGGGCCTTCCCCTTGCCCTTTTAGGGCTGTGTAGACCTAATACAACACTAGTTAGGAAGTGCAATTTTCAAGTGGAAGGCTTTAAAAGGGCAAGAAGAAGGCCCAAAAAGACATGCATCGAAGAACTCAGAAAATATATGGTAACTTTTGGTCTTAGTGAGGGCAATCTTTAGTAGGCCTCACCGTCCCGCCCTGGGGCTATATGGCATTGGGTGTGGCAGTAGGCCAAGGCAGGTGACTACTCCCGCACCCAGCCGCCTGGGTAGGCGCCCAGCTCCAACCATCAGGGAACCCGCCCTGGGCTGTTTCAGCGAGACGAAAATAAGCCACACCTCAAGGGCTTTTTTAGTAATTTTCCCCCTTGAAAAGAGGGAAAATAGGTTATAGGGGGTATTTTGCCCCCCCCCCGCCTCCCTCCCTCCCCCCCTCCCCCCCTCCCCTCCAAAACCCTAGTGCGAGAGATTTTCCTCCCAAAAACACCTTTTTCTCCAAAACCCTAGTGAGAGAGATTTTCCTCCCAAAAACACCATTTTTATCTTGAATCAAAAACAGATTTAAAATCAATTTCGAACTCGAAGTTTTCATTTTCTTGTGAAATCAAAAAGGATTTGACACGGGGCTTTTTGGATGGCAAAAATCTTATCAAAGAGAGGTTTTGGAATCCTAAAGTGAGCAATTGAAGCCTACTTTGATTGGGTTTTGAAAGGTTAGTAGATTTAAATGTTTATGTTTAGGGTTTCATTTTTTTATGAGTATTGTATTATGTTATTTTCTTTAGGTAATTTTCTTGGGTTTATATTTAAACACATGTGATTATAACATGTGTTTAGGTATGTTTGGCTATGTTTCTACTTCATAGTGCAAAATCAAAAAAATTTAATATATTCTAAATGGATATGTTTGGCTTTGTTTCTAGCTTCTAATGCAAGATTAAAAATTTATAAGATACATTTGTCTATATGATGCATATTTATTTACAATATATGTTTTGGTTATGTTTATAATTTCTAAAGAAAAATCGATTATTTGTAATATGTTTGTGTTTTTTGCTTTTGTTTATATAGTATTATATGTTTGCATATTGTTTTGTAATACAAAATTTGACAATATTACTCATATTGAGTAATATGTTTGCCTTTGTTTTTAGTTTACAATTGATCATATTGAGTAATATGTTTGTCTTTGTTTTCAATTTGTAAACTGAAAATTCATATTTCATAGTAAATTATGTTGGCTAAGTTTGACTAAATTGAGCTTTTCTATACTTTCAGGTTATCTTGAGTGTTGACTCTTGAGTTGTCTGTTGTCACATACTCATATTCCAAGAATCTCAATGTCTTCTTCTGGGTAATAAATTGATCTGGGGTGGAATCATGGCACATGCCCAATTCCATCGGACAAACAAAAGATCCAATGCAATTACTTTAAGAGAATCTATTCATGCGGAATTAATAGATTCAAGAAGCATTTGGCGGGGATAAAAGAGTATGTTGTTCCTTGCACTCGTCTCAATAGACGTAAGGAATGAGATGTTGGGCCTTCTAGAAGGGTTCAAGAAGAAGAAAGATATTAGGAACCAAAGAGAAGAGAAAGAGGTGTATGAAAGTAGGGCTAGGCCAATGATAGATGTGACGATTAGGCATAGTAGGCCACATAGTGTTGGGCCTACAGATTCTTACTTTGCCCCCCACCCCCCCAATCCTGTTGTTGCGGCTCGAGGAAAGGGACAAACTAAAATTGATAGCCATCTAAAAAGGATAAAAAAGAAAACGCAGATCAGTATCTAGCTCAGTGGATTTACCAAGCAAGCATCTCTTTCAATGCCACTACTTTGAAGAGCTCAAAAAGCCAAGGTGGAAGCGGTGGGACAATTTGGCTCTACATATATAATTCCTACCCCTATACGAGCTCAAAGGGCCTCTACTTAAAAAAGAGGTAGAACTGACCAATGATTATGTTAAGACTCATAGGGATGTATGGGCTCGGTTTAGGGTAATCATAATGACTAATGATGGTCTGACCAATGGTGTAGGAGTGTAATGAATTTGATGGTAAATTGTCCACTTGGGACAATTGTTTTGCAATCAATTGATGCATCTGATAAAGAACATGATTGTGTATCCAATAATTTGGGAGCGAGGGTTCACATACAATGGATTGTGGACCACCAAGTTTTAGGACCTACAAACTTTCTAAATTCCATGATTCCTACATAGTTTACAATTCACAACTTTACACGCTTTGTGAATCGTGATTTACATCTAGTATCAAAGAAAGGCAACAAAAGAGAGGACAAGGGGAGAAGCAAGAAGATGGAAGGAGATACAAAAGTTAGTCGTATTATGGTTCAATTGAAGAATGTCAATACGCTTAACTTCCTTGAAACCTAAAACCCATTAGAGGGGCAAAATTGTGGGTTCTAGGTTCATTTGAAACCTAAAACCCATTAGAGCCTATTTAAGAGAGAGAAAAATCCCAAAAAACTAGTTTTCGAGTTTCATAGGATCGAAGGGTTTTTCAAAGTTCTGAGAAATTGATAAAAAACATCATTATTGATATTAGATATAATTTTGGATTTTTATAAATCTATTAGAGGGTTTTTTAGAAGATTTTGAGTCTTTAAAAACATCTTAGAGGTGGAAGTTTGAAGTCGAGCAATCAAAGTTAGTGATTTTTTTTTATTGCTTGTTTAAGTTCTATTATTTTGAGTTGTCTTCTTCAGGATCTAATCTAAGTAGTGATCCGGGTTGCAAATATGGCTACAACCCAAATCGTTTGGATAAAAATTGCATAAGATGCAAGTTTTGCGAAAAGGATACAAAAGGGGGCATAAACCGATTCAAGAAACATCTTGTTGGTATTATGGGGGATATTGCCCCATGTAAAAAATCTCCTAATGCTGTTAAAGAAGAAATAAAAAATTTTATGAGTCTTGTAAAAATGAAAAAAGATGAGAGACGTGCCTTTATAGCAGAGATTAGGTCTAGGGTTCAAGTCAGTTATGATGATGATGACAGTGATGAGGACAGGAAGGGATGTCATGAGGTAGAACAATCCATTATTAGGTTGATTTGTGGTTCCACTGGTTTGGTATTTGGTAACTTTGGTAGGTAAATTTTAATTTTTTTTAGGTTTTAACCATATATGGAAGGTGAATTTTGGAGTGTGGACTATCAATCAGACTACGGAATATGGATAATTCATAATTGGATATGGACTTATGGTTCTGGTCTTATGGAGTGTGTGCTCCTACGTGTTGTGCAGTATACTTTTGAATTTTGATGTGCCCTAAATCCATAATTCTTATGTTTTATACAATTATACTTATAATGTTAGAGACTATAGAGAAATTCCTCTTTCTACTGGGCCGCACAGGTTCTGAGCGCCCGCCTAGCCGCTAGGCAGCCTAGACCCCCCGGGCCGCCTAGGACCCACCTAGCGCTTGTTGAAACACTGAGTGGGAGTTGCCCAATCAATTGATTGGTGCCAAAAATGAGGATGTGTGCGTTGTAGCCTTGTAGGGATACCAATGTAGGAAGGTGTGAAATTTTTTTCATGGACCACATGATTAATTTTTTATAGTGCTTCTTGCTTAAGTAATTGTTTTTATCACCCTCCATTCCCGTTGTTAACATGGAATCGAGGACTTAGGTATTACATTACCATGTTGGATTGCCATTATCGCTATGTGTGAGATCATACTCCAATGACAACAAAATGTTACAGAGAACTTCACAAACATGAATTTCGTTTACATTTGATACGGGGTTTGATAATTTGGAAAAAGTTAAACGTATTGTTCAATGGAATTCGCTCCCAAATTACAATATAGACAATAAGTGAATGTCGGTAACCTCGATCCTTATCGTCGGGGAAATCGATCCCATTTAGTAAAGAATTCTCTCCTATGCAAATATGGAACGTGCTCCCTAAAAGTCACAGATCTCGATCCTTTTACCTGACCATGTACAGACCTCATTCCCCCAAACACAGATCTTCAAGCTACCTCGCTCCGCACTCTCGATCCCGATCCATGAGCTCTTTTTACTCCCGTTCCCAGTAACTATGGACAAGATCTGAGCCAGACTGATATGTTAATTTTGTTATGAGGAAGCATATAGGAACTCTGTAGAAGAGCATTTGGAAACAAGAATAGCAACATGATGTTGGACTTGAATGAGTACATGAGTCCAAACAATCATCTAGAGTAGGTGAGTGCTTGCAATAACAAAATTTTGGATATGATAATAAACCCAGGATATCCACCTCAGATCACTTCGTAGAAAATTTTATTCTCTTCGAGACTCAAAATTATTTTTCTTCACCATTCTGCTCCCATTAAGGAGACTCAGAGGAGACTGAAATTGTACACCGAGCAAATGAGACTAACTCATGTTATCCTCAGGCTTTTGTTCTTAACCATTCTGCCTCCCCAGCCACCACTTTAAAGTAATGCACCTAATTTTAAAGAAAACTGCAGGTCCACAATCCACAAAAACGAAACTGGCAAGGGGCAAAATGCAAAAAACATTAAAGAATGTACTTTAACTTTTAACCATTCCCAGACCAGCATTTAGAAGGCATTTTCTCAATGAATAACAGCATCGGCCATTTAGTTCAACTACCCGACAAAGACGGAAAATGGCCACCATGAAAAAGTTGATCACTAAAAGAGATAATTACTGGCTTTTGGGCACCTACAAATCACATACAGGTGACGCACGTACTGTCCAATAGTTTTCCCAGATTATTTTAATTGTTCACAGCAGATAATAGTGAATCATACTTGGATAATTCGATGTGGGGCGCAGAGAGAAATAACTATCTGAACTTTTTGCTTGGTTTCAATCTGATGTGCTTTTCCTACTGAAAATAGCTCAGGCATATAAAAAATATATATTACAATGAATTTCAATGATATGAAAAGGAAACTCACTAACAAAGTCAAGGAAAACATTCACAGTGAATCCAAATAATCAACAACAAATATGAGAAATATAGCTTACATCTCTTTTTGTCTGTAATGGTGTCAATGCTGCAACAAGCTCAGCTGCATTCGGCCTCTCCTTAGGTTCATATTGCAGACAACGAGAAGCAAGGTGGACAACTTCAGTCCCTTCTTCTGGTGAAAATTTCCCCTCCAAGTGTGAGTCCATTAGAAGTAAAGTATTCTTTCCCCTAATAACATCAAGAGCCTGCGTGTAGACTACCATTGTCAAATATAAACAGAAAATAAACACATATGATTATTACTTCAGTATAGAACTCTCACGACAAAAAAAATAGTTCACAAGCATTGGTGTTTTCGGAAGCAGTTGTCAACCTTTTTCATCTGGGTAATTACAAAAGGATCCTATGCAAAACTATGAATCCCACGAAATTTGAATTTCTCTTCAGTAAATGAAACATTAGGGCACTATTCTGACTCCATAAATGATGTCCCTGAAAGAGACTTCACACAGAGGGATAAGGATGCCAAAAACGAGAAGTTACGGGATAAAAATGAATTGGCCACTGATATAAATCGCTATTGTCAATAGAGGAGCTACTCTGGTTAGGCATTTCCTGGAAATTAGAGAGATTCGTTCTCTCAAACTTTGACTCAAACACTTGAGTTATCAGAATTTGAGCCACCAAGTCAATGTGGTGGCTACACTTCGCACACACTGGCACCAGATAGGTATGCTACTGTCTGCAACAATAATCTATGGAAAGCCAATCTCTTATGGCAGAACAGGAGTGGGTAACCTAAATAAAAGGTATACAACTTACCACAAATCCACACCCAAGCAAAACCACATTTAATCAAACCCCAAATTACTTGTGAGGATAAGAGATGAATTTAACAGTACAGTTGTTTCAGGATCTTGTTTTGTTCTTTCTTTTTTTAGCATAGAGTGCAATGACCGGCACTCCAAAACTCAAGACAAACTCTGAACCACAGAAGAAACTCAGACATCCAGAGAACTACTAAAAATATCAAATAAATTTGTCCCACAAAAAGAAAACTATCATAAATGGAAGTTTATCTTCCTAATCTCCGATCAATTGATTCAAATGCTGGTGTACCCGAGTAACAATTTCTCCCTTTCCCTCTTATAAGTGAAGTACGACACGCCAATAACATGCATGACTGCCTTGCTCCCTTCAGTAAGTTTGCATCAGAATGATATAGAATTTTACATTTCTAAAGCATAGTTGCAAATGGAGGCAGGAGGAGCGGAAGCGAAAGCGGGAAGGGGAATCATCGTGGCTAGAAGCTCCCTAGTATGGGAGCACCATGGGAACAGGTACAATCACGTATATGAAATAGACTAAAATTAGAACATTATTTACAATCTACTTATAAATATATTAAATTATATGTGAATGCATATCATAAAAACCTTTGGAAAACATCATATACCGTATCTTCACATTATTAAAAATATATATGGATATTAATATACTCATTAATGCATTTATCTACATAAAAATTTATATTTAAGAAGAAAAACAAAAACGGATTTTATCTTAACTCAGTTTGAATGGTTCAATTTGCAAATTAGGGAGAACGATTGTCCAAATGTAATACCAAAATTTATTACATTCTAGAGCACAAACACCTTTTGGTAGTTTACCTTGAATGAAATCCTTTTCTTAGTGTAACCTACCAACCCATTATGACCCACTTTGCTTACCTTGAGCTTTATTAACTTCTGAAGCCAATGATTTATTTGTAGCCAATGCTTTATTAACTTCTTAAGCTTTATTAACTTCTGAAGCCAATGCTTACCTATCCATTATGACCCACTTTGCTTACCTTAAGCTTACCTTACCTTAAGTTTTATTTCCAAGATTCAAATTTACATTTAATGCCTTCTTAAGGTAACTTACATGTACATGAATCGGGTAACAGACCACTAGCTATAATTAGATATTATTGCTACTTTTTGGGAAGCTTGTCTCCAAAAAATTGAAATTATTGAGGTGTAATCTTTTTAACCAACAAATTAACTATTACCTTGTCGTTTTTCACACAGATCCCCATTAGTGAGAGAAAGGACTAAGGATCATGATCCCATGTCAAACGGGATCGAGATCTTGTGAAAAACGGTTGAGATCTCCCAAGAAGGATTAGCTCTGGGAATGTGGAACTGTGTTCCCACGAGCTTCATTCATAATACTAAAGTCATCATTCATGAAACTGCCCAAATAAAGCCCATTCTCCAAATTCAGTACAGAAGAATTCAATGGGAAAGGGAATCACTTACATGGCTTGGAGGGATATGTTTCCCACTAAGAAGATCCAAGAGAACTGTACCATAACTGTAAATTACACTCTCTTTGGTGACTCTTCCTGCAAGAACTTCACCCTGATTACTGACAAAACAAAATAGGACGTAAAGGTAAAAACTTATCTCAAACCATATAAATAACAACATAACAAGTATTGATGCAAGAGAATTCAAACGAAAGAAAAAAGAAGTGAGAAAAGTATTCATTCAAAGGTGGACTAAAAAGTGAAAACAAGGCAATTCAGATATGATTCTGAAAACTCTGCTCTCCATGGGGGAAAAAGAGACGAAGGCTGAAAGGAAATCGGGAATGTTGATTGGAGCTGTTTCTTCCAGATAATTTGGTGTCAGTTGGCCACCGTAGAATCTTTGGACAAAGGAAGAGAGCCTGACTCCACAATTTGAGAAGCTAAAAATGGTGTAAATGTATATGATATTTTTAGAGGGAATCTTTCATGGGCTTTGAGGAGAAGTCCATGGGATTTCGAGTGGCAGTGGTCATGTGATCGGAGCAGAAATTGGTGGCTGGTACAAAAGCCTGTGAGAAGGTTCTAAATAGATGCCTAATGAATTGAATTGTGTAGCAAATTCTGAAGAGCAAATTAAAAGAATGGTTCCTTTCAGAAGCAATATTATAATAAGAACTTAACCTTACAATAATAAAAAGCATTTTGTTTTGGTACTAAAATGTTAAGATTTCAGCAAGAATTTAGGGAAGCAAAATATATTATAGCACACATGCACATATGTTTTGCATTTTTCTGCTAAATAAGCAAACAATAGAATGAAGTAAATCTCATACACAAAACATGGAAGCATGAATGCAAAAAATGACTACTAGGCCATAATTCCATAAATAAAGAAACAGCCATGTCAAAACAAGACACATGCAGATTTTTTTTTTCATTTTTTGTTTTTTTGTTTTTTTGTTTGTTTGTTGGTTTTTTTTTTTTTAATGGGGTGGGGGGGGGGTAACTCTGTACAGAGTCAATAATTCTTTTACCCAAAATGCTCACAAAGAAAGAGTCAAATGATAACCACAAATGGACTCATGCAAATATGCACATTCGAGCCACAAATAATCTAAACCAGCATCCATGTTGAAATAAACACACTGCTTTCAAGAAATGCCTGGAAAATGTCTGTGGAGAGGCCGGAGTAAGCATTCAATGCAAACTAATGCACACCACATCATTTATCTTTATGTTTCTTAATTTATTTCACTACACTACATCATCAGTGGGACTCATTTGTTAGAAAGATTATCTGGCCCCATATTATCAACTCCTTTAAGACAGCCATCTCCCACAACGTTCCAAGTCATAAATCCAATAGATTTCAAACAATGCATTAAGCAATCAGGGTTACTAGCTATTCAGTACACAAGTAGCTTTCAATTCACTCCAATCAAGCAAATATTTTATCAAATATCCATGTTAAAAAGAAGCACTCAAGATTCAGAAACACAATGCAATTTGATAGCATAATAGAATAGCAAAGACCACCAACATAAATCCTACCATGTCTTTGTAAAACCTTGATATCTTTCCCTTGAATCTTAAACCCACCCCCCTTAGCATCACACTCAAATTGCTCCAAGTACGATTTTGTTCCAATAAAGCAACTACCAATTTATTCTATCTAACATCAACTGATCCTAGACAGAAAGCTAACATGAACAAAGGTATATGCTTTCATGGCCTGTCAATCACAAAGTGATGAAATTTCCCAAAGGGGCAGTATTTCTCTTACCTCTAACCTTCCTTGCTTTCAATATCCACCAAAGAAGTTCAACCAACTAAAGTAAAACCAAGTATTTTAAAGGACGTACTGTTAGTCCATGCAGTGATAAGTATCCCCATCCCCAAACTTCCATTCAATCAGTAGTGGACCACTTCCTGTCACCAATTTTGCCCCAAATCCCCAAAGAATATCTGTAACAGAAAAGGAAACTTTGAATAGAGGAGTAGAAGGGGTAGTGAGATGTGAGGTGCACTACCAATCTTTTCCCTGTACTTTAATGAATACTCTCAATGCAACTGTTGGGGTTTGTGGCCTTTAAAGGCTGTGAGAACGTGTAAAAATAATAAATATAGTTAGTTCCGCAATTCAATGGGAGTTTATGTTGGTTGACTAACCTAAGGGGCATTCTTTGGCCCATGTCTAGTACGAAAGCCTTTTCCCTGGGCATGGGCACTACCATTGAGGGTTTCCTAGAGGGACATCCCTTGTTGAAATCAGAGAGATGTCTAGGGACGACGGACGTAGACCACAAGAGCGTCGTGGTCTCCTGTTTGAGATTGTAGACATGTGAAAGCAAATGATAATTTTTTAACAAACTTCTACACGATATGTACATATGATAGCTGCATCCCAGGAAGCAACCGTATAGAGGGCTATATGTACATGCGCATAGAGAAAGTCGCCCTTGCACTATAATGACATGTGATGTGACTTAACACTTAATGGAACCAATAATCCACATACCAGGACTGCGTTTCCACTATTAGCTAGTTTTGATGGGCCAATAATGAGGCCCTGCATATGAATGTGGGTCATGGGTCCTATTGTGTTGGACTGAGAAGATATTTGTGGATCACGATTTCTAACACAAGTGGAGTGCCCTAATAATCACTTTCCCCGACTCATTGATACCAATCCACTTCTAGAGGTATTTCTTATAGTTTTCAACATTATTTATGCTTCTTTGATGTCAAATATTTTTCAGAATTTTAAGAAATAATTTTATGATTTAAAACCTTGTAAAGGGCAATGATGACATCATAAAGATTACTAGGGGCAAGGTGGGACCCACGTAGGGGGGGCTAGGACCCAACTCCCACACATGGGGGGCCCACATGGACCATACGCCCCACATAAGTGGGACACCCAACTAAATCTAAATTATTATAAAGACATTATTATTATTTTGTCAAAGAAAATCTTGAGGGAGTCTTGTGAAAAGATATTGTTGGTTGGAAAATATGCTTTTGACTTTGAATTGGATCTTCATGTTGACTTGGATTTCTAAAATTATTAGAAGTTATTTCTGTATGAGTACGAGTCTAGATTTTATCAGATTTTTGGAAGATCTCGTTCTAGTTCAACTAGAAGAAGATATGGGTAAAAGATTCACGGGAATAATATTTCTAGATTTCTTCCTAAATAATGATGGTTAATTTCAGAAATAGATGACTCTGATTGGATTCTCTCTCACCTCACGGATTACCTAAGAATCCTAAGGTCAAATTGAATCCTAATTCAAGATGGAATACCCTAGGGTCATTAAAACTTCTATAAAGAGGGGTCCTCCCCTCATTCTCTTCACCTTGAATTCAAACTTCTCTCTTTTTTTCTCCCTCATCCACACCACTTCTCACTCTCTCCAGCTCTCTCTCCTCTTTCTAGGGCGGCAGCCCCAACCACAGAGACCAGGGTGGCATGAACCACCTAGGGCATAGAGAGGGGTCACTTCCAGCCCATCTGGGTTAAAGGGGAGGTGCGACATCGTGGCATGCTCCAAAAGTTTAAAGGGTCTAAAACAACCCTAGGTCCAGTTGCCCACGCTCAAATAATGCCATATAGATCAAATAGAGGGTATCCCAAAGTTGCTTCCCAGTTGAGTTGGGGTGTGCTAGGTCCGAAGGGGGTAACCCAAGGCAAAGGTTCAGTAAGTCTTTCCAGTTTTATTTGCCATTTTATTTTTAGTTCTTGATTCATATTTGCTTAAGAGGTCCTAATTGTAATAGAAATCATACTGTAAGTTTGAATTCAATTTGTAAGTTTTCTTTGGCAGTAAGAATTAAAGATCTTAGATTGTAGTAGGTTTATTTTCTATTTCTGTAATGTCTAGTGACAATTGTAAGTAGAATCTCCAGTTATTAGTTAAAAATAAAAAAAGAATCGAATCTATACTTTTGAATCACTCAAGCCCCTAGCAACAAGGCCAAATTTGGGAACCTTTTGTTTTTTAGAATGTGAATTATATTTAGGTACAGGATATACAAAATTTTCACGAGACGTGACTTTCAGGCAACCCATACACGGATTCCTTGTACAAAACAAATGAAAGCAAAAAAAACAAAATGGTCAAAAAAGGTTCGGCAAGCCACACACTGACTGCTAAAAAACCAACAGAGGATCAAAAAACAATGCGTGGCAACCCACTAGCCAGGTGCTCAGCACATCTAGAATAACAGCCTACAAGCCAGGGGCTCACCCAAAGCTAAAAAACTGGTCAGTACCCAGTAGGTGATAGAGAGAAGAAGGGGGATACAAAGAGAACGACGGAATGAGGTGGGAGAAAGACATGACGAGAGATGAAGATAGAGAAAGCAGATGTATAAAGAGAGAAATAGAAAGGGAGTGATAGAAGGAGAGCAGGTTAGAAATAGTTTAGGAGAGACTGCGAAAGGGAGAAGGGGCTGGCGGGGCGGAAAAAGAAAGGTAGTAGGGGAGAAAAAACAAGACAAAACATCCACAAAAAGAAAAGAAAAACAGACGTCCGCATCATAAACACTAAACCAGCACAGCCTCAGATTCACTAAGCTTAGCAATTCTGGCCAAAGGAGAGATGGGACAAATGTTAAGTGCAAACACAACCAAATGCTAATTAGAAATAATACTGAAGACCCACAGAAATGTTGCTATCGCAGTATGGCAAAAATAACAACTCACAGCAATCAGCAAACTCTTTAACCATCATTCTTTCCTAATGTTACATAAATCCACAGAGCAACGTTACCATGGTACTTCATTGCTTCCATGTCACATTTTGACAACAAGCATCAACATGAAGTTTTTAAGAGGCATTTGTACATGTATCCAATTTTATGCATTTGTATGCAGGAAGGAACGTTTTTCTGTAATTGCTTCAATGGACGCTCTAGTCTAGCCTCGTGAGGTTTTTGTGGTCCAAATCAAGCATACTCATTTTACAAAATGCATCTCAAAATAACATTGCATCAGAGTCACATGGGAGATTGAAATCAGCACCCTAAAAAAATATTCAACAAATTTTAGGGAACTCAAAAACCAATTAACATCCTGGTGTAAATCTCAAACCTGACACCCCATGCCTCAAAACAATCCTTGGATCCTATCCATTGCCTTAAAAAGAAAACCTTATTATATATCTAAATCTTGAATTTCGTTTTGACAAGCACTTTTTCAGTGAGCTTTGGCAAACATCTACAACATTTAACTTTCGATTTTTAGAATTGCAAGAAAATACTCCCATTTATAAAGTTCTTGGGCAAGCTTTCTATGCCAATGTTGTTAGACTCGCTTTGGAGCCTGCTTTGGTTTGATCCTAAAAATGAAGCAATTCGGTGCTTCAACTGATTCGGGGGAAGACTTCGGGTTTTTTTTTTAATTTAAAATAAATAAAAATACAATTTATTTTTTAAAAATTAATAATATAGATTTATTCAATAATAGATAAAATAGTTAAAATATTACTTCAACACTACTAATTTTAATTTATTTTTTAATACCTTGGGGTTTGGAGCATAATAGTGAGAAATACTTGAATGGTTCTTTTAAATTTAAAACATATAAAAAATACTTGAATAATTTTTTTAAATTTAAAAAATATTAATCTCGTTTTTTTTACTTTTTGACCCTGTCAAAGTGGGTAGGGTTTGTGTTTCCTTTGTACTTCTCTTTATACATATGATAATAAGTGAGGTGGTAGTTTGGTTTTGTACTTTATCTATACGTCGCAGTCATTGTGAAACACATCTTTCTTATGTAAACTTTAAGATATAAGAGAGTAATTCGCAATTTAGTTCGCTTCGATAGAGAGGCAACACCCGAACACTTCGAGTGCTTCACCCGAAGACTTCGGGTGCTTCGACAGAAGCGAAGCGAAGATAACAACATTGTTCTATGCTTTCCCTAATGCACAAAACTTATATACATCCCCTATCCAGCCATCCATTCCGAATGGACGACTGAGATGGCCCCAATCACGATGTCACGTCTCTACACTATTTTATTTTAAATTTTTTCTACGAAATATTTCGACACCAAATTTTGGGTGTCCACTCCTCTCTTAAACTCACACTTGTAGAAAATATGAAAAAATTATTCGAATAAAATAAAATGAGTAAAATACCTCTGAAAGTTTCAAGGGTTATTTTGGTCATTATATTTTATTGAATAATTCGCTTTAATATTTTTTCAAGGTACGCCCCACTAAGAAGATAACACATACCAAATTTCATATTCATACAATTTGTAGATAAAACTAAAAATAAAATACTCTGAGACGTTGGATTCAACTTCATCTTCCTTTATTTTCAAATGAAACGAGTGTAATTTGCTATAAATTTTAGGGAAAATTACAAACCTATCCGTTATACTTTGTGTTATTACGGATGTACCATATAGTTTCCGTTATTACATGTATGTCCGTTTTTTACCTTTTATAACTCAATTTTTTAAAAAAGACAACTTTACCCATTTTCGGATGTTGAATAACCGAATTGGAGGGTTTTTCGGATGTTCAACATCCGAAAATATTACATTTTCGGATAATCAACATCCGAAAATGTGACTGCATAAGGTTTCAAGAATTTCGAAGTCACATTTTGGGATGTTGAACATCTGAAAATATTTGAAAATGGTTTCGGATGTTGGACCTCAAAAAATGGCATATTTTAGGATGTTCATCATCCGAAAAATGATTGCGAAATTCCAAAGACCTCCAATATTTCGGCCTATTTTCGGATGTTGAACATCCAAAAAACCCTCCAATTCGGTTGTTCAACATCCGAAAAAAGGTAAAGTCGTCTTTTTAAAAAACTTGCGTTTTAAAAGGTAAAAAACAGACATACATGTAATAACGGAAACTATTCGGTACATTCGTAATAACGCAAAGTATAACGGATATTTATGAAATTTTCTCTAAATTTTAAGTAAACAGTTTTTCAAAATTTTCAACTTTCATAAATGCCTATAGATTTCATATAACCTAAGTTCCTCCCATTCTAATTTAAAGAAATGCCTGATTTGACATAAGTATTTTAGATTTAAATTCCTCAACAAACTAAACAAAATAAAAGAAAACTTATATAAGCATTAACCTTGGTACGAAGTTTCAAGGAATGAAAATTTAGGGCTATAATTGGCGCATAAAACCTCCTATATGACATTAACCCCAAGCCAATAACAACAAACAATTGAATTAATCTCCAATATATACATTGGAACTCCTAGAAGAAATAAAATGTGAATTTATCAAACCCTAGAGAGAATTATACCTCAGGACAAAAATTACAACCACCTCAACTGCTCAGAAACTCATATCACCTCTATGAGTCTCATCAGAGACAAAGGTCCCCTTGACTCTATTGAGGCCAACTTGGGAAAACAAATTCTGTTATATACCTCAGCTCAAGAATTAAGCAGCTTGTCATAACCTCAAACACCTGAGAAAAGAAACAAGAGTTACTTTTACTCTCAATTAACCATTGCACCGCGAAAGTATACCTCTAGAAACTCGCCTCATGGAAAGACATCCATTGAGATTCTCCTACATCTGGTAACTCTCTGAAGTGAAGTTTCCACCCTATCCCATCCCTCCCAAGCATTCAATAGGCAATTAAGGAAACATTAATGGGATAACTAGTACGAAAGATATTTTGAGAGTTTTAAAGCTACCTGTTAAAACCACCACTAATAAGTTCCTTGGTCCAGATATATTAAAACACATATCCATAACACATTATTAAAATACATATCCACAATGAAAAACATTGCTGGTAATTGTATTTGTACAAAATGTTAAGATTGGGCACAAAGAGAGGCAATATGCAAAACAACTGATAATTACTTAATATAAAGAAATAGGACTTCACAGTTTACCTACTAAATGTGAAGTCAAGAGTACAGAACACCAGTACCGCAGTTTGAGCATTCATAATTGCAAAGTATTCCAGCAATGGAACACAATCTAAAAGAGAAATGGTTACCAGTTCTCATAAACTCTGGAGGTGTATATGCCAGATTTGTACTGTAACTTTTTCCATCCCTACTATTTTTCATTAGGCCAAAACATGATAGGCGGGGATCACCATCCTACAAATCAAAGAAGCGCAGATCAGGTTCCAAAAATCAATCTTTCCTTTATTTGCTTTGTTCGTAATAGTGCTTATCCAGATCTCCAATGCCAACCAGAAAACATTCATTTATCAAACCATATCAAGCAAAAAAATAATAATAATATTCAACAATGCATATGCTGAAGTTAGTCAACAACAATTATGCATCAAATGACTTTCCAACAATGGAATAACATGTACAATTTTCTGTACATATGAAAATAAATCAAATGTTGTTCATGGAGGCTTAGCCCTTGCCATTTAGTCATATGACTCATCTCCAAATAAAAAAGAGATTGTAGCCTAGGAGGTAGACATGGATGTGACATACTACAGGCCCAGATTTAGCTTTTTGCGAATTCAGGGGTCCATTCATACTACAAGGAGCATCATGCGTACTACATGTTACACCTCCATTTGCGAGTTTTCATCAGTCATCTCCAGTGCTTGAAAATTCAGCTGCATAGCCGTCAAGGTGGTGCAGGCATGCCACCAACAAAAGGCATCTAGGCGCATGCTCTAGGTGGCCACATTCCTAGGCAGCCCATTTTTCCGGGGGAAGGCTCATTGTGGGCACCTTGGCCCGCCTTAGACACTCCACTGGTATACCAAACTTCAGCATGAGAGACCTTTATTTTGCAACGTCCTATCATAAACTTTTGTTTTGGCTAAATGTCAAAAGTTATTATTGTTTCAAAAGCCAATCGATAGGAGAAGAGGATTATGGTAATGCCGGAGAGAGCGAATACAAGAGCACATAGAAATCCAGCACATTCATTGGGTATAAGCATGCATAAAACCTCCTACTGTGGACATGCAAACGTGCACATGCACTACAGATACACATGATTACATTACATGGTATTACACTCAAGGGCTTCACAATTTGTAAAATCCCTTGGTTTGTTTATTTGTTTCTTATAATAAATTTTTTTACTTGTTTTTATAATTTTTATATTTTTTCCATTTTTCTGTAATTTTACCTTGTTTAATATTTCCTAATTCTTCATAATTTATTTTGCAAACTACCACACAAATACGAGCAACGAACCAGTCAAAACCGTCTAGTCCGACCGGACTAGTACCCTTACCAGTTCACATCAGTGTCCTGAAAACACTAGAGAAAATTTCCTCTCTTCAAAGACTAGCATATGAAGGCACGTCAAGGGGATCATTATACCACTACCAATGTGAATCACCCATCCCTCATATAAACAGCTGCACAAAAAATAAGTCCTACTTCTTAGAACTTACAAATTCTAGTTGATGAACTCAACTCATGAGGACTTCAGGAGCCTGGATTGATGGTTTGCATCTTGAAAACTGCAAACATAATATCCAAGGATCCACTCCCACCACTGACCTAACCAAACAAACAAGATTTGTTTCATGCAAATTATTCTATGTTTGAAAATTTGCTTCATACAAATCATTCTCTGTTTGACAAAGTTGTTTAGAGAAACATTCAAATCAGCCGTCTACTGCTAATAATGCACACCATATTGATTGAGGTAACTAAAGCAACACAAAAAAAAAAAAAATGTTGAGAAGCCGAGAGAGCAACCAAACTTTCTTATTATTTACTCATCTTTCATAAGAACTTTTAGGATTTCTTTTGGGCATTTTAAGTACTAGTTTCAAGGGAGAAAGAGGATTTTCTGGAATCATAACCTCTAGCTAGTATGAGAAATCTGGACGTGGGAACCTTGACACTTGAAGTGTTGGATCACTCCAATCACCTTGTCATGGTAAAACAGCACAGGAGGATTTATCATTTCCTTTGATCCAACTGCTGTACTCCGTTTCCAGCAAAGACTTACAAAGTATTTATGCAATTTAAAACTTAATATTTGTTAAAGGAAGGGGAGGAACGAGAGAGAGAGAGAGAGAGAGAGAGATGGAAAAGGGAGAGGAAGGCAGAGTGACGTGAGAGTCCAAAATTGGTCTCATGCACCTCTCAAATCAATAAAACTAGAGAAGTAAAACTACACATACAAACTAGATATAGGAAATATAGGTCCTATTACCTTAAAATAAAACAGAAATAAGGACCTTTAACACTTCCCCTCAAGCTAGAGCATACATGTCACCCATGCACAACTTGGAGCAAATTGTTTGAAACATAATACAGCTAAGAGCTTTATTGAAGATGTCTGCTAAGTAATCCCTAGATTTCACAGACACTTGCTTACTAGTGGCCTTCTCTTGAACAAAATGACATTCAATATGTTTAGTTCTCTCATGAAGCATTGGACTCCCAGCTATATAAGCAGCTTTATTATCACAACGCATCTTTATAGGCTCAGCAATACTAAACCCAATCTCCTGCATCAGTGTCTGCAACCACATCAATTAACATGTTAGTATGTATCATTGCTCTGTATTTGACCTCTGCACTAGATCTAGCCAGAACATTTTGTTTCTTACTTCCCCATGTAACTAGATTTCCACCAATAAATGTTCAATAACCTGTGGTAGATCATCTGTCAGATGGAGAACCAGTGCAATCAACATTTGAGGAACTCTCAATGACCAAATGATTGTTTGACCTATTAATCAGACATCTACCTAGACCTCTCTTTAGATTCCTCAAAATTCTATGAACAGCATCCCAGTGAGGGATACTTGGGGAGTGAATAAACCAACTCACTACACTTAGGCGTAGTAATGGCCAGATAAACCAGCCTGCTACAAGTCTTCTATACCTTCCTCGATCCTGAAACAATGCCCCTTTATCAACTAATAATTTAATATTTGAATCCATAGGAGCAGGGTTTTAAAAAACGCCGAGTCGAACCAGACTTGCCCGGTTCGACTCGGGAATCGCCACAAAACGAGCCAACTCCTCACATAAAACGGGAACCGCTCGTGTCTAGAGAGAACCGGGCGGTTTTAAACAATAAACCACCCGACGACATCATCAACCGACGGTTTTGAAGTCATCACTCCGACACGGACACGTGTGCACGTGGGCACAGACACATCCGTACGTGCGCACACGCACGCGCACGTGTGAGGCACAGACACATGCGCAGGTGCGGACGCGCATGTGTGAGGTTGCCCCAATATTTCCACGCGTATGACGTAGTTCA